AAAAGATTGGATACAAGCATTGAGTACTAAGAATACCTTGTATTTCTTTTTCTTCTTAATTTCTCTGGCTAGAACTTTTAGTGCTCTGTTGAATAGAAGTGGTGAAAGAGGGCATCCCTGCCTCGTTCCTGTTCTCAGAGGAAAATCTTTGTCTTTTACTAAGAGTCAAATGTTTGCTGTGGGTTTTTCACATACGGCTTTTACGCTGATGTCGTTTCCTTCTGTTCCTTGTTTAATGCTTTCAACTTTTTTTTTTTTGAGACAGGGTCTTGCTCTGTCATGCAGGCAGGATCGCTGCCTTGACTTGACTGCTTCAAGCAATCCTCCCACCTCAGCCTCCCAAGTAGTTGGGACCACAGGCACGCACCACCACACCTAGCTAAGTTTTAAAACTTTTTGTAGAAGCAGGGTCTCACCACATTCCCCAGGCTGGTCTTGAACTCCTGGGCTCAAGCAGCCTAGATGTAAAAAGTTTAAAGTCAGTTTCTTAAAAGTCCAACTTTGCTTGCTGTTCTCAGGATGTTTGCTCTGATAGAATTACTCTTACAGCCAGAAACAGAAGACCCTGCCCTGCCTTTCTAATCGTTTTGTCCCACTGCTACACTGAGTTTCATGAATAGCATCTTGTCCTGCACAGTGCTTTTAAATTCTGCTCTGCCTGATATGAACACTCGTTTTCACTCACGCCCTATTTTTCTATCCACTTATTTTCAGCCTTTGTCGGTTTTATGACTATTGCATAAATGGCATATTCCTGGGTTCTAGTTTCAACCCCAGTCTGACCACCTGTCTTCTAAAGAGAAAAAACAGATTTTGTGTAACGATGTATTTCTTGGTGTGTTTAGGAAAGAGGGGGTTTAGGGAAACTCCTCCTACTCCTCACACCAAAGTTCAGAAACAAGTGAGAATGAGCACTTGAAAGAGAAATGGGAAAAGACACTTCTTAGTCTGGCTTTAAATTTTTATTACTTTTTTTTTTCTATAGAGATGAGGTCTCACTGTGTTGCCCTGACTGGTCTTGAACTCCTGGGCTCAAGCAATCCACCCATCTTCACCTCCCAAAGCAGTGGGATTACAGGCGTGAGTCACCATGCCCAGCCTAGAAGGCATTTTTGACTGAACCAAAAATGCAAATCCTCACCAAAATCTCTCAGCGAAGTCGCTCTAAGCTCCCACTAGAGTGGAGCAGTGGAGAGGCCAAGAGCACTCCTCTAGCGCTAAGATCCCACCGAGAAACACGAGGCCAGAGCATGAGCACCTGCTCCCAACAAGGCCCCATGACTGGGCCTCTGAACCCCTGAAGCCGCTGTCAGTCGCTGAAGTGCAGTGGTGTGATCTCAGCTCACAGCAACCTCCACCTCCCGGGTTCAAGTGATTCTCGTGCCTCATCCTCCTGAGTAGCTGGGATTAAAGGCGTGCACCACCATACTGGGCTAATTTTTGTTAAAAAAAAAAAAAAAATTTTTTTTTTTGAGATGGAGTCTCACTCTGTGCCCAGGCTGGAGTGCAGTGGTGCGATGGCTCACTGGAACCTCTGCCTCCAGCGTTCAAGTGATTCTCCCACCTCAGTCTCCCAAGTAGTAGTTGGGGCTACAGACATGCAACACCACGCCCAGCTAATTTTTGTATTTTTAGTAGAGATGGGGTTTCATCATGTTGGCCAGGATGGTCTCGATCCCTTGACTTCGTGATCCGCCTACATCTGCCTCCCAAAGTGTTGGGATTACAGGTGCGAGCCACTGTGCCCAGTATGTTAAAATTTTAGTAGGGATGGGTTTTCGCCACATTTGCCAGGCTGGTCTCGAACTCCTGGCCTCAAATTATCCGCCTGCCTCAGCCTCCCAAAGTGCTGGGATTACAAGCGTGAGGCACCGCGCCCGGCCTTTAACATGTTTTTGAGATTTATACACGCTGCATTCATCACAGTTCACTCCAACTGGTTACTCAGTAGAAGTCCATCCTATGACTACACCAGAATCTCCATATCCACCTTCCCGTTAAACAATCACCAATAAAGTGACATAAACATGCTTGTACAAATCTTCTGTGGACATACATTTGCATTAAGTATCTAGGAAAGTCTGCACGAGTATGTCTAATTTTTTTTAAAACCCCCAAACCAAAAAATGACAAATTTGCCCACCAGTTTTCTAAACTGGACTCAGATGGCAATAGGCGAGTTCCAGTGGCTGCACATTCGCATTCATTTTGGTGATGTCTTTTTCAAAATGGGACCTTTTTGTGACTCTAACTTGCCCTCCATAGGGAGTAATGGTGCTGAACAACTTTTCATGATCTTACTGGCCACTCATGTATACACAGGTCCCTGACTTAACACGGTTCGATTTAGGGTTTGGGACTTTATGATGGTGTGAAAGCATTAAGCACTCAGCAGAAGCTACACTCTGAATTCTGATCATTTCCTGGGCTGGTGATGGATTGCAGCATGGCACCCTCCTGCAGTGCTGAGTGGTGGCAGGAGCGACAGTCCCAGCCAGCTGTGCCATCATGAGGGGACGCGGCCGGCATGGCATCCTAAGTCAGGCAACATCTGTACCTTCTTCGTGAATATCTTGTGTTCAAGTCTCTTGTTCGTTTGTTAGATTGGGCTTTTCATCTTAATTTTGATTTGCAGTTTTCTCCCCTATATCCGAGGTCTGAGACCTTCGTCAGGACACCCGGCGTGATGTTTTGCCTGGCATTCTGTTGCTTGCTTTTCCATTTTCAAGAGCAGAAAATTTTCATGTTGATGAAGCCCAGTTTTTCTTCTACGGTATGTGCTCTGCATCTGAAGCAGCCTTTGCCCAGCCCACAGTTAAGTTTTTCTTCTAAAACGCTTCATTGTTTAAGTGCTCATGTTGGGACCTGCAAGCTATTTGGGATGAATTTTTGTGTATGGTGTGCAGTAGGAATACAAACAGCCAGTTTTATTCACGGAACACAGGTGGTCAGACTGAGCACATGGGACGGAGCTGACCCCAGAAGCTGAAGGCCAAAACCCACCTGATTCAGATGCTCGACTTTTCTGGAGGTAAAGGTTTTAAATAACAGGCAGGATAAAAGTGGAAATTTAGAAAGGCTAGCAGGTGACATTATGGGGTTGAGTAAAAGTTAGCTAACATTACCATAAGTAAAACCTAAAGTCTCTGAACCTGTTCCTGTTGTTTCCCCACCTGATAGAAAAAGCCGAGACAGAGAAGTTAACCTGCCTAAGATCACACCATCGTGAGTGGCTGAGCTGGGCTGTGATGAGCCACCTGGCTGGAGAGCTCATCCCTAGTTACATGATTGCGAGGAAGACGCCTGCGGGCTCACGCATGCAGAGGTGTGTGCGCAGACAGCTCAGAGTGAGACGCCTGCGGGCCCAGGCGTGCAGAGGTGCGAACTCAGCCATACTGAGCAGCGCCTATGGGCCCAGGCACGCAGAGCTGTGTGTGTGCCCAGACAGCAAAAAGCCTGTGCAGAGGACCTGCTAGGAGGTAACGACTAGGGAACACTTTTTTTTTTTTTTTGAGACGGAGTTTCGCTCTTGTCACCCAGGCCGGAGTGCAATGGCGCGATCTCGGCTCACCGCAACCTCCGCCTCCTGGGTTCAAGCAATTCTCCTGCCTCAGCCTCCCGAGTAGCAGGGACTACAGGCACCAGCCACCATGCCCAGCTAATTTTTATATTTTTAGTAGAGAGGGGGTTTCACCTTGTTGACCAGGATGGTCTCGATCTCTTGACTTCATGATCCACCTGCCTCGGCCTCCCAAAGTGCTGGGATTATAGGCGTGAGCCACTGTGCCCAGCCAAGAACACGTTTTTAAGCAAATAGGTAAAGGGAAAATGCAAAATAAGGAGCTGTAATTAGCATCACATCCTAAGAATCATTATGGAGCACCTGAGTGTGATTTGTTGGACTGGGAGCCAAACAACACAAGTGGGGCGCACTGCTCGCAAACGTAACAGGCTGGGGGTCCAGAGGAACCCTTGGGGCCGTGTCAGGCACCGCCTCTTCCGGGCCGCTGGGCTATGTCAGTGGGCAGGATGAGGCCCTGATCCCGCAGGGGCCACGCTCTCATGCACTGCAATGCAGTCTTTCTCACACAGGACCTAGTGTAACATGGGACCCAACAGCAGGACACGCCAACCCATTAAAAGCCCAAGCAACATACAAGAGAAGGTTTCTAGAAACAAAGAATCAGGCTTTATTTTTGTTATTTTTAATACAGGTATTGTATTGTAGACATCTGTTAGTCTTGCAATTCAGTATGGCCAATACACAGAAATTAACGTAGAAACGAAATGAGGGCACACTCACTCCTGTCCTCGGGTTGGCCTCTCCAACCCCCAAAAGAACTGTCCTCCCCGTTGTCATATCCTTTCCCTGCTACGAAGACAAGCAAACCAAAATGCCGCCCCAAAGAAAAGAACCAGAGGCTCTCTCCCTAGCAGTCAATGGGATGAAGCAAGACACTGTTACCTTGGGTGGGATGGAGAAGCCACCAGATCCATACCACTGAGGCCATGTGTGCCACCACTGCAGCCAAACCCTGGCCATGGCCGGCAAAGCTCAAGACCTGGGCACGGCATCCAGCAGCAATCCCCGAGGTCTAACAGCACGCAAGTCAGGCAGCCCTGAGGCAAGTAGGAGGAGCTCTGTCCTCTGGGGGTGCTGGTTCCAGAGGAGGCTCAAGGATAGTCTCTTCAGAGAGGTGCTCACCCGGGAAAGAGGGTTCCTGAGGAGGCGTGCAAAGGGCAAGGGAGCCCCCCTTGCCACTTGTCCCAGGGCTTACTGCTGACTCCACTGTCCTTGGAGTGCTTGAGTCTCTACACCACTTCAAATGAAAAAGGAAACCAGAAATAAGGCATTAGACGTTTGATTCTTTTATTTCCATATGCAATGTAATGTTTAGGCACGCTGCTTGGGATGCTATTTCTAAAAAAATTGTTGGCCATTTTTCAGGATATCCTTTTGGTTTTAAATACTGGTCAGGAAAAACAAATGATGTAAAAATACATGAATAATTTTCTATTACAGAAATGAAAAACTGATTTGCATCTAAAAGTGCAAGAGGTGAAGTAATTTAACCCTTTCACCAGACGATATGGCAATATACAATATATTGCTTCAGATGTTTGAGAAGGCTGTGATGTATTTTTATATTGACATAGAAAATTATAAATTACATTGAATTAGTATCCATAATCACTATATATATACACAAACCAGTTCTAAAAAAATACACTGGTTTAAATTTATGAGTGAAAATCTCACAAGGTACAGTAAACAATTAGCATGCTTCGGTGCCAGATTTTGATTTCTACTTTTAAAATACTAGCCTGTAAAATGAACGCACTCTAATTCCATTAGCAGCACGAACATTTTCAGCTGACTTGCCTACTACGATTTAGGTGTGTTAAATACGCAGATTGCTCCGAAATGTTCATTGGTGATGCTTGTTAACAAGGTAAATTTTGGTGAATGGGTTAAAAGGCAGATGAACTACCGAAACAACAAAAAACAAAAACAAAAGCAAAAAAAACCCCACAAAAAACAGAAAACAAAAAACCCAAAACACAAGAACACAAGCCATATCAGCTCCAAATAGTCTAGTGTCTCACCTGTAGGAATAATCATTTCAAGCAAACAAGACTTGAACAGAACATATGGCTTTACAATAACATCAAGTTATCAACTAAGTTGTAGCAATAAATACTTAATCTCTACCAATAGACTTACAGTTTTGATCCATTTTAAACAATACAGAAAACAATTACCAATCAAAAACTGGTTATAAAAAGAACACCAAATATTTCTTATTCAAAATCACTTTTGTAAGTTAGAACAACCAAAATAACACTTAGAGGCATTTCCATTCTACAACTCCTTGCCAACCTGGAAGAAAAATGAATTCAGAATTTTTTACAAGGTGAAAAATGTATGAAAACCGCCTAATACTTTGGTCACACTAATAAATGTCAAATAGTTATGTTTCAAATACAATAGATCTGTGTATTCACTTTTATAAAACTATTCTTACAGCCATTTTAACTAGAGTATTACTACTATTATTACATGGGCGGCAAGATCTTATTTCACAGGCTACCCATTATTTAGAACAATACAATATAAACATACGCAAAAATTCTTGGTATTTGTCAATGTGCAATATTTTTACACTTCTGAATTTCTCTGTACAATGTCTTAGAATCTAGGGTATAAAGGTTGCTGGTCCTGATCCCTTGCAGAGTGGGTGCAGCAGTGACAGCTTGGTGGGCTCCAGCTGACCCCTCCAGAGCCCCTGAGTGGTGGCGGTCTGCAGTCCTCAGTCAGCAGCGGCAGTCGTCACCCATCATACAGGGCCATTCACTGAAGTGTCACCTGGTACACTTGGCTGGTCAGTCCTAAGGAGCAACAGACAGACATCGGAGGCTCTTGCAGCAGAAATGAGAAAAACAAAACCTATTTCGCTGAGCTCCCCAAGGGCAGGGAACATTTATTTTAATATTGTTTATCCCATGCTTAGACAATACCTGGAACTTAGTTTTTAATAAAATGATACATGAATGAATTGAACTAAAGCGACAGAAAAATCTGAGTGGCATCTAAGCTTCATCACCAGGTGAGCAGGCATTCCCCAAGGGCTGCAGCAGAGCAGGTGCGCTGGGAGCAGCACCCCGCCTCGGCCTCCACAAAGAGCAGACAGAGACAAGTTGAGTGGGGTAGAGCCTGTGGCTTCCAGAACCTTCAGGAGCTATGTGCTCACCCCTCCTTCAAAAAAGCTTTTATGTGACCCACAGATGGGAACCCACATACTATTTCACTTGGAAAACAGGATTCTGCTACCAGGAAAGGGGGGAGAAAAGGACATGAAAGAAAAGGTTTGCAAATAAACTACTGAAAACAAAGGCGTCCACTTGAAAAACATGTTCCCACAAAGCAAATGTTAGGCTCAGAACTGGGAGGGAAAAAGAGGTGGACAGTAGATAACAAAGTGTCTAGCTTTTGCCTTCCTGCCAAATATTACAACCTGAATATATAACATATTTTGGCTGGCCTGACCAAAATTTTATAAAGGAGACTTGGGAAAGGATGCTGCGAGCCGTAACTGGGATGCCTGCAAGCAGTCAAAATGTGCAGCTAGAATGCTTTCCACGCCTTATACCTGCTAGTTATACAGAGAGCCAAGAAGTCAGCTCTGCATACACAATCCACTCCGCTCAGTTACACCTGATGGTGTCTCCATGTATGAGACACACAGGAACCGAGACTTCTGGAACTAGACATAGCCAGTGTATAACCTGCCTTCACTTAAGCTGAGTGAGCTTATAATTAGATTTCTTAGCCCCTCTCAGTTCTGTTTTCTCCTCTGTAAAAAGGGAAGATAACCCCCAACCCCCACCACAGAGGGCTTCACTAGTATACATATGAAACAAGTACATAATGTGAACAGCATGCTTAGCGCACCGGAAGCGCAAAGGACATGCCTGATAAAACAGTTGTGAAAAGTGAGATCAGTGGCAAGGCAATGCAGATCTTTAGGTATGACAGTAAATAGCACGCCTGCCAATCCATGGAACTGTAGGATCTGGCTGGGACAGGAAGCACACAGGAAAGACAGGGGAGCTTCAATCTCCCCTGTGTCACACGTCACTTCAGAACACATGCAATCCATCAGGACACACTCCAGGCCTGCCCGAACACCTGCTCCAAGGCCACCTTCTCAGAGACCCTCTCTCCCGCACCCAACTCACATGGACCCCTGTTCCCTTCTTCGTGGGTTCTTGGCCTCTTCACAGATGTGCCTCCACTGTGCCCCAAGATTACTGGGTTAGCCGTGTGCTGCAGCTTTATGACTCGGCCTAGACCAGTGGCCACTACACACAGATGTGTGTCAGATGGAAGAAGGACAGATGGGCAAAGGCGTGGACCCGAGTGATGCCCCTCTTCTTCCACTGGCTCACCCCACCTTTTCCTCCAGTCCTTGGCCTTGCAGGTCAGGACAGGGCTCTTCAGAGCAGGCATTCCCAGCCACAGAGAAGAGCAAGTGGCTTCCCTTTAGGCAAACAATTCTTCTGTGCCCCCGGAAGCCAAGGAAATACTCCAGAGCCTATACATCCTTTATGCTAGAGAAATCAAGAATAATCCCCTGAAGCAACTGCCCCAAACTGGGATGCACCTGGACAATTCTGCCTTCTAGGCAGCCCTCAATACAAAATAAATTTATAGGTAAAAATCAGAGAGCTGACATAACTGATTGGGAATTAGACCTATAAAGGACCACTTAAAAAAATACATTGAAAACCCCAAGAAAAAGAGTGACTTGCCCAATCCTTAGGAGCAGAGTTGGGGTGGCTTCCCTGGCGCTAGAGGGCCACCCTTCCTCTTCACCGCAAAGCCTTCACTAGAGACAACATGCTCAAATAGTTCTTAATTGTTTTATATGCAAAAAAAAATATATTTTTAATCACAAAAGCAAAGGCTTTATTTCCACTACGATTTCCACAGGAGGAATACAGCTTGCTACACTGTGAAAACAGGATTTTGAATCAACAAAGAGTGCCCCCTGCTGGTTCCCACTCGATATGCTCCCACACAATGCTGGCAAGACTTTGGGGAGGATTTGGGGGCAGGGGTGGTTAAAACTTCTCTGAAATAGCTTTAAAGTCACTTTATTCCTTGTGCAAGGAATATACAATCTTAGCTATATTTGCTCACAGAAGTTAATTCTGGGCAGTGACGTCTCCCCATCTTCGGGCCATGCTCAGTGTTGCGTAAGGCCCTGGCATGGGCTCCAGGTGGCTGAGGCTTAGACTGGTCTATCCCTTCAGACCACTGGCTCAGGCTAAGCAAAAGATGACTGGAAACAAAACACCACATCCCAAGTCACATGGCTCTGGGAGTGGGCATTTCATACTTAAGATGACAGGGAGTCACTTAAGCGCTAAGAATTATGTAGCCCATGTATCAAAGGGCACCCAGGCAAGTTCTTCTTACGTCACATGGGCAGGACGGGGGGAAAAATGCACCACAATCTGCTTGTGCCTGGCAGCTGGATGACATTAGTGAGGCCAATGAGGACTCCAGTCCTGGAGAGGCTCAATGTCACCCTCAGCTCAGTACCTCACCAACAAGGATGAGGAGACCCGTCTGATCAGAGCCACTTCTAAAAGAGTGAGTGATGTTAGAGTCTCTGAAAATTGGTTTTTGGCTTCTGCAGTAAGGAAAGGAACTGCTATTTCTAAGCTCTCAGCTCAGTCACCCTGACTACCCTAAGGACTGAGAAAAACACTGTCCTGCCAAGTAAGTGGCCAAAGACTTGAGCACAGCTGTAAAAGATCCCTCTAGACCCTACCCCTCCAGGAGGCTTGTCCCCTCCCAACTCCCAGGAAGCACCAAGCAAGGCCTGAGCAAGGCCGGGGTGGGTCTGAGGAGGCGGGTGGTTACCTCTGCTCGGGACTATTGCTGGGAGGCCGGGGCGCGGTGCACTTCACCTCTGCCGTCTCGGGGCTGTCCTCCGAATCTTTACAAGCAGCATCTTGAGAGGTAGACAGTTTCCCTTCCTCACTGCAGTAAAGAGGATAACAGGCACATCAAACACCCTAGGGACCAGCGCCTAGGCACCAGAGGATGAGGTCACATGCAGATGGCTCTGGAAATCATGACTGCCATGGAGGCAAAGCGCCCTGGGACTGAGCATGCGCAGGGTGCATGATCAAAGGGACCACAGGCAGTGACTGGGGAATCACAAAAGGAAAGGGTCACACACAGGTGGGAACCAAAAGAGGGACAATGTAATGTGGCTGGCGTCTGATAAAGAATGGTCCCATAACACTGTACATACCGATAGGATTTCAACACTCTGAAGCCCAGTGTGCAAAACAGAAAAAGAAATGTACAAGAGTTTCAGAATACTCCTAGAAATGAGGAATTTGGGGGAATAATATGTCCACGACTGCACGTAAGCAAAACTGCAGATTCGGTGAAGGTGTCAAAGAACCTGTTTGAAGGAATGAGTCTTTAGTTAAAGCACTTGGCTTCTGGGGCCAAGCCCACCATTAAAACAGCAAGACAGGCCCCATCAGCTTGCTGGCTGGGAGCCTCAGTCACACGAGGAGGTCACCGTGTTGACTGCATCGGTTTCATGGCTCCTCGAGTTGCCCTCGAACAATGTGTAAGAAGCATAAATGCCCTGAGGGAGAAGACGGACAAAGAGGTGATCCTAAGGGCACAGGGGATTTGGGGAAAATGAGACCCAGAAGGATGATATTTTCCACCTTAGATGGTTATCGGTGGTGAAAGACACAGGAGACACTTTTCTCAGCTCAGTGGGCTGGAAATTTACTCTGCCTATTCAGTCTGGGATTCCCCTTTTTACACAATCAAAATGGCACTATTAAGAGTGAAAGGTCAGTTAGAGGTTCCCCGTGTAAAGGTCCACCACTCAGAACTGAAATTCTGTCCTGGATTTTGCTTATGACAAATCTCACATTAGGACGCTTTCTTGGGTAGTTTCCAGATAGTTCCAAGCAATTATAAGTAGGAAAATGAGCTAAAAACTTATGATTTAGTGATCATCCGAATTACCTGGTTCCTTACTTCTTTGTAAACTTACTCTTCTTTACCCCCATTCTCCATTCCCTTCCCTTCAAAGCAACTATTCTGTTTATAATTCTAATTCTTTAAAAACATATAGTAATAATATATGTGTATGCTGAGTCACTAACTGGGATTCAACTGTACATCTCACTGTATCTGCCTTTTTAACTCAACAAGTCAGGGAGACCCACCATCCCCGCTGACTGCGGCGTGCGCCTACCACTCTGCACGGCTTCTCCCACCAAAGCTGCCCTCCACCTCCACGCACAGCGCTGCAATGACCGTCACTGGCCAGGGCCCCTGGCAGACCTGTCCGGGCATTTCTCAGGGCTGGACACCCAGGAGTGGAAATCTGCAGGCCATTTTTCTACCTACAAAGAACCCCAACCCAGAATGACTGCCCGGGTCTGTACTCCTCCAGCAGCCCTGCACGCTGCCACCCGCCACACTCAGCATCATGCACCTCTACCTGCTGCCAGTATAAGAAGAGCATCAGGTGCTATATTGTCATCTGTAATTCTCTGATGCGTTTCACACATTTTTTTTTTTAAGCTTTTAAGGTTTCTTTGTCTATAAACCCTTACCTTTTGCCAATTTTCTGATTTGGGTTTTCTTCTTCTTACTACTCTATAGGAAGTCCTTGAATATTTAAGGTCAGTCTCTTGTTGATTTAGACAACAGATGTTTTTTCAGTTTGCCATTAGCCTCTTAATTTTGTCTGTAGCATTTTATCAACCAGAAATTCTTAACTTTAATATAATCTAACTCAACTCTTTGCATTTATAGTTTGAAGACTTGCTTTGTTTCCTTTTGTTTTTCTAAAGAAGTTCTGCTAAGCCAGGAGGCTCACTTGCAGGAGTTTGAACCCAGCCTGGGTCACAAAAATAAAAAAATAAACAAAAAATTAAGCCAGGAGTGGTGGCACACACCTTAGTCCCAGCTAGTTGGGAGGCAGGAGGACTGCTTGAGCTCAGGAGTTGGAGGTTACAGTGAACTATGATTGCACCATTGCATTCCAGCCTAGGTGACAGAGAAAGACCTCAACTTAAAAAAA